CTACAACACATAACACAACTTATTTTATTGGACCAATTGATTGAGAAAAGTATAAAAGTTACACATCTCTGAACAAAGACATAAATTTTTTTTTTTTAAGATTCTTGGCTGACTAAATACATTTTTGTTGATTTTCTTGATGCTTTGAATTTTTATCTTGTAGAGTTTTGTTAATAAACATTTGTAGTAAATGAAATAATACACATTACATTTATGTTAATAAAATTCGCTGTAAATGTTTTATTTATTTTACTCATTTGACCAATTTCAACTAAGCTTAGTATTAGTAGCCTTGGGAAAAGTTTTATCACTCAAAGGAGAATAGTCACCAAAAAGAGAATAAGCTCCTCAAAAGCAGAATTAGATAACAAAATTTTGTTTTTGAACCAAATTTTAAAAGTAATGAAATTTCTCTCTCTGCTTACTTGCCAGCTGTATTACATAAAGGTCTTGCTGTGGAAGTCTGGCTAAAAATATGTGCCCATAGTCCTGAGGACACATTTGTTCTAATCTGTACTGTTTTCTTTACAATGCAGCTGTTGAAAATCAGGTCTATGTGTATTGGCTTGTTCGTTTGACTGTGACACTGGGATCTCTGGAGGTTGATCAAACAAAAAGAGAAAGAAAGGAAGAGGAAAGAGTCTACTAACTGGATGGTAAATGCCGAAATTCGCAGGAAGATGGATTGAAAATTAGAGAAGAAAATTAAAATTAAATGCGTTGAAAAATCACATTTTAAAATAATTCCAAGGGGAACTGAACCCAAATTTAACTAGATAGAATTCAGTAACATTGAGCAAAACCAAGACTACCCTTCCTGCCCGACTTCCTGCCAATGAGAAAGAGACCATTAAGGTATCAGTGAAGATGTCAGATAAAATAAAAACATATGTTGTTGATAAAGAGACCAAGGTGGTCACTGAAATAACACTTAAATACGGCTCTGAACGAAAAAGCTAGAAGGAAGAAACATTTGGTTTGAATCAACCGCCCAGAACAGATAGGGACCAGCCTGACATGTTCATTCATTATAATTTCTGTGACATTTGTCCAGAAAAAATTTTTTATATCCAAACATTAACTTTGATTCCTCTGGTTAAAAGTGATAAAGGAAAAATTAATTACTATTTTGGATTGACCATAGAGAAAAAGGCTGTGTGGTTTGTTGATTGTAAAAAATATATAAAGAGAGGAAAGATAAACTTCTGTTTTTATCACTATAGAGAATGGGAATAATTTACTTTCCTTTTCTTTCCCAATTCTCGAGTGGTTTGGTCGATTGTGAAATAACAGCATAAGACAAGCTAATAAAGATTAATGACTGAAAATCCCTTTTGTTTTCACTACGCTATCTGGAAGTTGGATTCATCACAACAACCCTAGGAGTGGGTTGAGGTTAGCTGCTGAGAACATGGGAGAAAGAAAAAAGAAGACTCTCCGCAAGTTGTCCAGACCTCTGGACAACTTGCGGAGAGTCCTCACACTACTGTTATTGGAATCCACATCGTTCTACGAGACCTCCTAAGACCTTGTGTTAGCCCTTAAGACCAGAACTTAGAAATTTAAGTTAGTACTAAAACAAGTTGCAGATTCAAAAGGGATCCCAGTGTTATTTAATTATAACAAGTGAGAAGGCCAGCTAAGTCAAGTGAAACTGTGCCTACCATAATGATACCAGCGACAAATGAATCACTTGTTAACGAGTGAAGATGGTAACTACAGTGGTCTGAAGGAAATTGAGGATTGACTTGTAGGGTGACATTATATGGTTACCATTGAAGTCCAGCACATTATTGGTGGCTGTTGATGAGAATTGACCAGTGATTTTACATGACCTCTGTTGTTAACACTGAAGCACCATCAATGTGTAATGTCCTTTTTAAATTACTCTCATTTAACAAAGGGATTATGTGTGTGTTTTTGCAACATGACACTTGTATTTTCACCACCCTGAATTTTATTGCAGTGTGTAAGTATATAAAGCTCAGAAACAGATGATGCACTGGTATGAGTGTTGCTACACCACAAAATGAAAATTTTATCAGAGTATTTACTACATCCTGTACCCAGATCAAAATCATCTTTTCATTTTTTTTTCCCATCAGTTTACATGCTTAGTACTATAGGTAAAATAAGGCAACCAATATAAACATATAAGAACAATGATGACTACCAAGAACGTTTAGAAATGCTCCTACTGCTGCCTTTACAGGGTCCATCTTGGTAAATATCTGTATTACACGGCCGTCCAGAACCTGGTCTACAGGTATTGGAATATTCATCTGACTACTGTTGGCAAAAATCAACATACTTCAAATGTATCAAATCCAACATGTACAGCAATTCTCTAAAATGAATAGCTAGCATCTTGAATACTTACAATGCAATCCCTCTTAAATGGCTTTAACTAAAAAAGATTGCCAGTGCATTTCTATAGCATGAGACCTGCTTGCACAAAACTCTTTCACCATCGTCAATGTTATTAAATTGTATATCTGAAGGTCAAGCACAGATTGCACTCTGCAATGAGCATGACTTCATCAGAAAATCATGAAAGACTTTGATATCAGAATATCTACTGTGTGTATATCAGTTCCAGATCAAAATTAAAATTCTCCTTCAGGGTATTGTAATTTAATTTTCTCTCACTAGATATACAGTAACATGCAGAAATATTGAACACACAGAATTAGTTAAGAAATTATTTTTTATTACTAATACTAACCTAAAACTTGGACTGAATATAGTAAATATTTAGGATAAACTATTTATGAAGAGAAATCCAGAAAGTAACATCCAAAAACTTTGGCACACATTCCAAAAATATAAATAAAGCAGGATAAAAATTGCAATTCTATGGAAACTTCTGATGACCAAAGTATGTCATGCACTATAACCAAAGACTTACATTGTCTACATGTATTTTTAACAGTAAGATCTGGCTGAGACATGTGAAGGTTTTTGCAATGGTAAAAACAAAGAAGCTCTTTTAAGCATTTTGTGAGGTGATGACTGACCATCATAGTCATAAAATGGGATATCAAGAAATCTCTGACAAGCTCAAAAACTCCGCAGGATTACAGCCAGCGTTTGAAAATGGAAGGAACATGACCTGAGTATTGATCTGCCTTGAAAAACGATGTCCTTATAAGGTAAAGAACAACAAGAGCCATTTGTAAGAAGGTAATGCACCAGCCATTCACAAACTGAGAACTCTGGAAAGATCTGCAAGCAGCTGGGACAGAAGTGTGCAACAATAAAATGAGTTGGAAACTACTGAATAGGACTGCATTCTTGGATTTGGAGAAAAATTGCTTTGTTGAAGGCTTGTCTCGAATTTCCTTATCACCATCCCAAGGAACCAGCTTCATTCTGGGAAAATATATTAGGGTCTGATAGAACTAAAATTGAACTCTTTAGTAGACATTTGAAGACTCATCTGAAGAGTGAAATAGACATCATATGGACCCTTAAAATACCATTCCAATAGTTAAACATAGCAGAAATATGATATAGAGATGTTTTTTTTTCTCCACTTGGGATGAGTGTACTCTATGTCACTGTCTGATTCATTGAATTGTTTTTTATGGCTTATCAACTCTTTGTGGATTATTTAATGTTAAAACATCTTGGAGTGTAAGAATAATTCATTCTTTTCTTTTTTTTTGCCAGTGAATATTGCATCAACAATCTGTTTTTGAGAATAACAATGATCTTTTACAAGTCATACTATTTAACCGATAGCTGAGGAGAATATGGATTCATACCTTTTCCAAAGGTATTTGTGTGTAAGTGAATGTTGGAATTTGAACTCGGCTCTCTGGTCTCTCATTTTCAGCTGCTATCCTTTACACCATCCATGTATCATTGAAAGAACATTGGATAGTGCTATGTATCATGAAACAATGTTTCCATCTGTGAAATTTCTCAAGCTACTGAGGTGTTAGTTTTTTGAGCAAGATAACAATCCCAAGTATACTGCAGTGTAAACAAAAGAATGATAAAGACATATAGGTTTTACAGTAGTCTAAACCATCACCTGATGGAAAATCTGTGGAAGTACCTTAAATTTTGAGTTCAACAACCTCCCAGGGCAGAGTGTACATGGGGGCAGGTTGAACATTGAAAGCCGATACTTACAGTACAGATTGAATGCTAAGGAGTTAATGATCTTCAGTATGATAAAACTGATGTTAATTTGTGAAAGAAGCTGAAATCAAATTATTTCACATGTCTCACTGACATCATCTCAAATAAGAGATATACCATTAAGTATTGAACATTTTTTACTGATATATCCAGAACTTTTGCAAGTTACTTTCTCTTTGTTAATAAATTTACATGTAGGTAAACATTTCTTTATTTTTCCATCTACATAGGATATTGCTAAGTATTTAATATATCCAGCTTTTAAGTAGTTGACAATAAGAGGAATTATTATATTCTTAAATTATCTTCCTAATATTTTCACATAACACACACACACATATATATATATTAATTATGAAATGGACTAAGTCTGATAATTATTTGAATATATTTTTGTTTATACGTTATTTTTATAGATACAAATATTTAAGCAAATGCTCTGTTGATAATAAACAGTATTAACAACATTTATCAGCCTGAATGTCCGAGAAATCTCAAAGAAAATATGTGTCCTCCGACAGGAATTGAACCGGTATCCTATATGGAGCCACTGTATAGCCTAACATGCTATACCATTTAGCTACAGAGGAGGCATCTGGTTAACAAGGTTAAATTACTGTTTTTAAACCAGATGCTTCCTCTGTAGCTAAATGGTATAGCACATCAGACTATATGGTGGTTCCATGTAGGATACAGGTTCGATTCCTGTCAGAGAACATATTTTCTTCGTGATTTCTGACATTCAGGCCGGTAAATGTTGTTAATACTGTTTATTATCAACAGAACATTTATTTAAATATTTGTATCTATAAAAATAATGTATAACAAAAATATATTAAAATATATAAGAG